TGCTAAATACAGGTGTTGTTGACGTTGTTGGCACTTAGCATAGATTCTGTCCGTATTCTTGTTCCAGTTCAGCTTATCGTCTATAACGGTTCCCAAATAGTTATAGTCTGACACGATTCCTATATGACAGTCATGAATAGTCACAGGTAGTAAATCTTCCTTCTTAGTCCGAAAGTCTATTATCATTTCTTTTGTCTTTTTCACATGGGTAAAATGTGTGAAGCCCATTTCTGGTGTCCCCCGCCGTGATATTGCTGGAATATTGCTAAAAGCGGCGTAAAACCATACTCACTCACTCACTCTTTTGTATTTTTAGTATTCAGAACAAGAAAGTTGTCACACCAGTCAGAGAAATTTGATATTGCACAACGGTAGCAAGTTTCATCACATTTGGTGATGAGTCCAGCAACAGCAGGATCATCAGCAAATTTAACTAACAGTGTACCATTATCTTTTGCAGTCATTGGTATATAATGTGAATAAAACTGGAGATAACACACAACCTTGTGTACTGATGGTTTGATGGGAAGATATTGTTCCGTTTACCCTCACACACTGATGGTTTGATGGGAAGATATTGTTCCGTTTACCCTCACACACTGATGGTTTGATGGGAAGATATTGTTCCGTTTACCCTCACACACTGATGGTTTGATGGGAAGATATTGTTCCGTTTACCCTCACACACTGATGGTTTGATGGGAAGATATTGTTCCGTTTACCCTCACACACTGATGGTTTGATGGGAAGATGTTGTTCCGTTTACCCTCACACACTGAGTTCTGTTTACCAGAAAGTCTTTCATCCACAGAATCGTGTTGCGGTGCACATTCATTTCACAGTTTCCGAATCTGGAGGTGAGGTTGAATCATGTTGAATGCGGAACTAAAGTCCAAAAAACATAACCCAAACATACGACTTTGGCGTGTTGGTGTGTGTATATATTACGTTCAACAGTGTTGTTGTAGCATCCTCTACTCCTCGCCTCACTTGATATGCAAATTGAAGTGGATCTAGAATGTCTCTGACATCTTGTAGTCAACGAGACAGCACAATTCTTTCAAAGCATTTCATAATGATGGATGTGAGAGCGAACCGGGGGAGTTTGGGCACCGGGGTGATCTTTGACAGTTTCCATATAGCGGGGATTTCATGATCACTGAACGATCTTTCAAAAAGTCAGGAAAATACATAAGAGAGTTCCGAACAACATTCCTTGAAAATCTTACCATTCATGTTTTTTTGGCCCGGGCGATTTCCGTGCATTTATCCTCTTGTAGACGATACGTACTTCCTCTTCTGATATTGGTGTGTGTTCTTCTGTAGTTGGAATAGTATCCATGACGTCATTTAAACATTTGGAAAAGTCAACGTTGTCAAAGCGGGAGTAAAATGTATTCAGCTGTTCAGCAAATCGGGCTTCATCCGGAACTTCGATAGTTTTTTTTAATGTTTTCCACATCCGGTTATAGGGTGTATGTGTTGCCAAGCACTGTGCATGTCCCCTCGGAGTAGCTTATTCTCCAGTTTAGATTTGAAAGAGTTTTTATTCCGCCTTATTTGAATCCTTAAATCCTTCTGTAGGTCACGCAATTTGACTGCATCGTTGTCCTTAAAAGCTACCTTTTTCATGTTGAGCAGATGTTTAAGATCTTTCATAATCCACGGCTTGTTGATCGGGAAAATCTTAATTTCTTTCACAGGTACTATATTGTCCACACAGAAGGTTAACTGGTAATCACATCCACGTTGCTATCAATCGTGGCGTCGGGCTCGAGTAAACTGTCCCAGCTTGTGCAATCAAAGCTCGCTCGAAGCGTCTCCAGTGAATCTTTATCCCACTTTTTAATGATTTTCTTTTCAATCTTCCCTGTTTTTAGCTTTTGTCTATAGGCGGGTAGTAATAGAACAGTGTTATGATCAGACGATCCCAGCGGTGGTCTGGTTACTGATTTGTAGGCTTGCTAATATTTCCAAAACACTTGTCCAAGATTGTGTTTTTCCGCATAACACATGACACATATTGGTGGCAGTGGGGTAGCACAGATTTAACATTGCATCCATTAAAGTCACCCAAGATGAATTTCGGAGCATTTGTAGATAGGTTCTCAATTGCTGGATGTGATCATATACTTGCCTAGCTGCATTGTCGTAGCAGCCGGATGGGGGGATATATATCAACATAATAAACACTTGGCCGAACTCTCATGTGAGATAATACGGTCGGGAACGACACAGATAGTAATTCCAAATCGAGTGTCATTACAGTCTTTCTCACGGTCCAATTATTGCACCAGTTTTTATTCACAAATATACATACTCCTCCGCCCTGTGATTTTCCGGTTTAATCCTTCTGTCTATCCAACCGTAATGGGGATCTGAACCCATCAATATGAAGAATATCATTATCAATGTCAGGTGTTAACCATGTCTCTGTTAAACAAATCAGACAACTGTCCCGATATTCGTATTGGTAGCAGACATTAGCTGTGAGTTCATCTAATTTGTTCTTTAGAGATCCCACATTTGACATCAGTATACTGGGGAGTGGTGGCCAGGATTTACGAGCGGGTACACGCGTAGGTACACCTCCCTTCTTACCTCTCTTGCGTTTTGTACGTTGGTAAGGTTCTGCGCACACATTCCAAAGGTAATATTCGGTGTGTGTTGTATGAAACGTTCATTGTAGAATACATCCTCAAGTAAAATCACACATACAGGCAACATAAAACACATTAAATTATAAAATGTATCACAGCAGTCCTCACGCGTGTCGCCACTGAGCAGCGCCACTCTAGTATGCACTAGTGTGTGGATATGTGCGCTATATAAATATCCAGTACCGGGAATTCCCGTCCCACTTAGGCCCACATGAAATTAAGCCCATGGGCTTAAGTTTGGATTTAATTCTTGGGTGTTTAGAGTGACGTCCCTTTCCAAACGCATGGCGAACCTTGACATTTTTAACATTAGTAGTGCCTCTGCGAGGTTATAACGTTTACAGCACATTTTGGACACCGGTTACAGGGCAGTTATTAGTGACAGAAATTGATCATCTTAACCCCTATGATGTGCATGCAGTTGCAGTTAAATTGAACAACGTGGTCATTCAATTTTGAATTTCTAGACCAGTTTGCTGATAAAAGAGTTTTAAAAAGAACAATTCTTTATATTTATCAACATATTGCGCATATTTTAATTTAAGCCCTGGGCTTAAATACAGTTAAAATATGTCATCACTAGAACAGTGATTTTCCGTATTTAAACCCAGGGCTTAAATACGGTAATTCCCGGTAATAACAAAAATATAAGAAATGACCTTCATCAACCAGCTAATTCATTCCATGTACAGGCAATGCAATGCCGTCATCGATGTCCATGGAGGCCACACACAATACTGACTTTGAGGTATCCTAGTGGTACCATTTTTGGTGATTTTGTTTGTGTGAACTCCGACTGATGTGATTCCCAAAATGTGTTAACCATAATTGTCAAGTTTAAACTCAATGCTCCATTTTGATTGTTAATTAGAGCGAATTTAGGTGTGTACTTTAAGAAACCTCTATCGGTATGGTGTTTCTTTTGCAGTTCAGTATAGATAGGAAAACCAGATTTGATGTTTTCAGGACATGAATGCCTTGATGGAGTTCGAAAACTGAAACCATGTTACAATTTGTTACAGAGTTATGGGCCTTGTCATGCGTTTCTTGACTTTGTGCACAGTATCCACAATGGGGACAGATTTTTACAAAAACTGTTATAGATAGGGAAACCAAATGTGGTATGTATTTTCAGGACACAAATGCCTTGATGGAGTTCAAAAACGGAAACCATTTACAATTTGTTACAGAGTTATGGCCCTTGTCATGCGTTTCTTGACTTATAGTGCTCAGTATCCCCAATGGGTGCAGATTTCCTCAGTAACCATTATAGATAGGGAAACCAAATGTGGTGTGTATTTTCAGGACATGAATGTTGTGGTGGAGTTACAAAACCGGAACCAAATAGGAGCAGAACACTGTGGCGGGGGATATTGATGACCTTGTCTTCTTGTTGATTTGTTAAATACATGAAGAATATGTTAGCTTTTATGGCGGAGGTAATCTTAACGACACCATGTGATCAACGTGACATGACATTACTAAAAAAATGTCGCCTTCAGCATCTTAGAAATGATGAACATTATACCGCAAGGGCCCAGAGGCCCAGATAAGCTGCGTATCCGGGTAAAATACGCATAGAATTACGCATTGAAAAATAATTGTTACGTACCAATTACGCATTTAAAATGTTAGATACGCAAAAAGTTTAAAACAAATGCGTACAAAATGTATTTATAAAAATCGCTTGCGTAATGAAAAAGACATTGATTGCTCTCAAGTTGTACTGTTAGTATAGGACAAGTGTTGTAATGTCAGTATAGGATGAGTGATTTTTTATGAAATAATTTCCATTATATTTAAGTTGGTTTTGATTAGGTATGACATAAGGCAGAACATACCTGCTTAGTAAACTTGCTCAATGACATAATACTTAGGTGAGTAAAGTGACTGAAATACGCACATATTTGAAAGCAGTGGGTAACGGAAAATGAAATACCCACTCAACATTCATAATACCCACTCCAAAAAAATACAGTGGGTAGAGTCCCACATTAGCTAAATCTTATCTTGAGCTCTGAGGCCCGATTTACACTTCTGCTATGCCTTACTGTTTCCATATGTATTATGTAATTGACAAGGCTAATAATTAAAATGAATATCATTAATTTAATCTACTAAAATTAGTATTGTGATTGTGGCAACACATTCTGCTTAACTTTTTTATGAGAACATCAAGTGATTATATAGTCTGGCTGGACAGATACATAGCAAACTGATATCCACTCACTCACTGTCAGTACTTAACATCCTGCATACACCAACAGAGACATGTTTTGGTGTTTTGAAATATGTGTGTCATATCTGTGAAGACTGATGGGTGTCAACACTGGGTTCCAGGGACAATACCAGAGATTCCCCGCGTGGTCCTAGACTCAACTATTTCCCTGCAAGCTCCCTTCAACCTCTGGGACTGGCTGTACGCCCATACAAAGGAGGTGCATAGCAAGGGACAAATACAGCTGTTTGGGGACCAGTATCAGTTTGATGTGAGTATACAGATGTGTGGGGACCAGTATCAGTTTGATGTGAGTATACAGTTGTTGGGGACCAGTATCAGTTTGATGTGAGTATACAGCTGTGTGGGGACCAGTATCAGTTTGATGTGAGTATACAGCTGTGTGGGGACCAGTATCAGTTTGATGTGAGTATACAGCTGTGTGGGGACCAGTATCAGTTTGATGTGAGTATACAGCTGTGTGGGGATCAGTATCAGTTTGATGTGAGTACACAGATGTTTGGGGACCAGTATCAGTTTGATGTGAGTATACAGCTGTGTGGGGATCAGTATCAGTTTGATGTGAGTATACAGCTGTGTGTGGACCAGTATCAGTTTGATGTGAGTATACAGCTGTGTGGGGATCAGTATCAGTTTGATGTGAGTACACAGATGTTTGGGGACCAGTATCAGTTTGATGTGAGTACACAGATGTTTGGGGATCAGTATCAGTTTGATGTGAGTACACAGATGTTTGGGGACCAGTATCAGTTTGATGTGAGTATACAGCTGTTTGGGGACCAGTATCAGTTTGATGTGAGTATACAACTGTTTGGGGACCAGTATCAGTTTGATGTGAGTATACAGTTGTTTAGGAACCAGTATCAGTTTGATGTGAGTACACAGATGTTTGGGGACCAGTATCAGTTTGATGTGAGTATACAGCTGTTTAGGGACCAGTATCAGTTTGATGTGAGTATACAGCTGTTTGGGAACCAGTATGAGTTTGATGTGAGTACACAGATGTTTGGGGGCCAGTATCAGTTTGATGTGAGTATACAACTGTTTGGGGATCAGTATCAGTTTGATGTGAGTATACAACTTTTCAGGATCCAGTATCAGTTTGATGTGAGTATACAGCTATTATGGGATCAGTATCAGTTTGATGTGAGTATACAACTGTTTGGGGACCAGTATCAGTTTGATGTGAGTATACAGCTGTTTGGGGACCAGTATCAGATTGATGTGAGTATACAACTGTTTGGGGACCAGTATCAGTTTGATGTGAGTATACAACTGTTTGGGGACCAGTATCAGTTTGATGTGAGTGTACAACTGTTTGGGGACCAGTATCAGTTTGATGTGAGTATACAACTGTTTGGGGACCAGTATCAGTTTGATGTGAGTATACAGTTGTTTAGGAACCAGTATCAGTTTGATGTGAGTACACAGATGTTTGGGGACCAGTATCAGTTTGATGTGAGTATACAACTGTTTGGGGACCAGTATCAGTTTGATATGAGTATACAGTTGTTTGGGGACCAGTATCAGTTTGATGTGAGCATACAACTGTTTGGGGACCAGTATCAGTTTGATGTGAGTATACAACTGTTTGGGGACCAGTATCAGTTTGATGTGAGTATACAACTGTTTGGGGACCAGTATCAGTTTGATGTGAGTATACAACTGTTTGGGGACCAGTATCAGTTTGATGTGAGTATGCAGTTGTTTAGGAACCAGTATCAGTTTGATGTGAGTAAACATATGTTTGGGGACCAGTATCAGTTTGATGTGAGTATACAACTGTTTGGGGGCCAGTATCAGTTTGATGTGAGTATACAACTGTTTGGGGATCAGTATCAGTTTGATGTGAGTATACAACTTTTCAGGATCCAGTATCAGTTTGATGTGGGTATACAGTTGTTTGGGGACCAGTATCAGTTTGATGTGAGTACACACATGTTTGGGGACCAGTATCAGTTTGATGTGAGTATACAGTTGTTTGGGGACCAGTATCAGTTTGATGTGAGTATACAGTTGTTTGGGGACCATTATCAGTTTGATATGAGTATACTGTTGTTCAGGGACCAGTATCAGTTTGATGTGAGTACACAGATGTTTGGGGACCAGTATCAGTTTGATGTGAGTGTACAGTTGTTTGGGGACCAGTATCAGTTTGATGTGAGTATACAGTTGTTTGGGGACCAGTATCTGTTTGATGTGAGTATACAACTGTTTGGGGACCAGTATCAGTTTGATGTGAGTATACAACTGTTAGGGGACCAGTATCAGTTTGATGTGAGTATACAGATGTTTGGGGACCAGTATCAGTTTGATATGAGTATACAGTTGTTTGGGGACCAGTATCAGTTTGATATGAGTATACAGTTGTTTGGGGACCAGTATCAGTTTGATGTGAGTATACAGTTGTTTGGGAACCAGTATCAGTTTGATGTGAGTATACAGTTGTTTGGGGACCAGTATCAGTTTGATGTGAGTACACACGTTTGGGGACCAGTATGAGTTTGATGTGAGTACACAGATGTTTGGGGACCAGTATCAGTTTGATGTGAGTATACAGCTGTTTGGGGACCAGTATCAGTTTGATGTGAGTATACAACTTTTCAGGAACCAGTATCAGTTTGATATGAGTATAGAGCTGTGTGGGGACCAGTATCAGTTTGATGTGAGTATACAGTTGTTTGGGGACCATTATCAGTTTGATATGAGTATACTGTTGTTCAGGGACCAGTATCAGTTTGTTCAGGGACCAGTATCAGTTTGATGTGAGTGTACAGTTGTTTGGGGACCAGTATCAGTTTGATGTGAGTATACAGTTGTCCGGGAACCAGTATCAATTTGATGTGAGTATACAGTTGTTTGGGGACAAGTATCAGTTTGATATGAGTATACTGTTGTTCAGGGACCAGTATCAGTTTGATGTGGGTATAGAGTTGTTCGGGGAACAATATCAGTTTGATATGAGTATACAACTGTTTGGGGACCAGTATCAGTTTGATATGAGTATACAGTTGTTCAGGGACCAGTATCAGTTTGATGTGAGTATACAGCTGTGTGGGGACCAGTATCAGTTTGATGTGAGTATGTTAGTGAACATTGAATTAACAGATTTATCACATGTCTTAATATATGCTTCTGGAAATGAACACTGGTTGTAATAAACTGTCATTACCATTGAGTGTTTATATACTTATGTAATATATAATGTCCATACTTTCTGTGTGTATTTGGTTTAGTTAAAAGGCTGACATCTTCGTGCAGAAAACTTCTGATCTATGTGGGCATGGTTCTGACAGCCAGACATCACAGTCATTAACAGTAGAACCTGGCCCAGCCAGTGGATCCAACAGGGGATTGTGGGGCACCAATGCTAATTTCTTCTTTGTAAATGGCTGGTATGGGCCTGTGGTCTGTTCTCACTGTATCCTCAAGGCTGACAAGGAAATGGTCCACTGTATGGTTATGGACATCTCTGTAGCTTGTGATCAAGTCATCCCTGGTGCTTATCGGCTCGACAAGAAGGATAGCAACATTTCCAATGTGTTGTGTCAAATTTGCTAGTCTTAATTCAAAACTTTTATCCCTGATACACTAAACTTCTTCCACCTCGACCATTTGGAACAAACTGAACGTTTACCAAAGCATTTGCCATCATGGGATAAAGTGAAGAGTTGCCATAACATGGCACCTAATATACCTAACAGTAAATGGTTAATTATTGCGGTTCTCCATACATGGAGATGTATGGAGAACAGCAATGTAATAACTGAACAAAAATCATTCCCTCTACTGATGAAGGCCGTGCAAACATACCCAGTCAACCATGCCTCATAATCCTCTTACTCCTCAAATATACAACTTGCCCGACTGGCAAAAGAGGATACCACCAGTGTATCATCCATGCCTCCCCATCATTAGACCATCACCTCAGTGGTCTAGTGGGGGCCGGTGGAGTAGCCTAGTGGTTAAAGCGTTGGCTCGTCACGCCGAAGACCCGGGTTCAATTCCCCACATGGGCACAAGGTGTGAAGCCCATTTCTGGTGTCCCCCGCCGTGATATTGCTGGAATATTGCTAAAAGCGGCGTAAAACTAAACTCAGTCATTCAGGGGTCTAGTGGATAGAGCATCTGGCCTAGATCAGGGGTTCAATCCCTGGTTGCTTCATACCAAAAGATGATAAACAATGGTACTGTCTTCCCTACTTGGTGTTTTGCGTTAAGGGGGATCAAAACAAGGGCCAGTTGGTCAATATGCCTGGCACTATTACTGGTTTGAGGTACTATGGTAAACTGTGGTTTGGTATCTCAGTGGGAAAGCACTGTAATACTGACATTAGTCCAGACGAAATCAAGTAGACACACACATAATACATGCATGTGGCTATATATACTGAGGGAAAAAAGGATCACATGAAAGCACAAGTGTTCCTTTATTTTTTTCCAGATTTCTTCACAAGCGTTGTATTGCAAAGCTTGTGAAGAAACCTGGAAACAAATAAAGGAACACTTGTGCTTTCATGTGATCCCTTATTTTTTTCCCTCAGTATATGTGGAATGATTTTGAACACAACTTTAAACACCATTTCACCTCTACTCACCTCAGCTCCCCTTTGTTAAACCATTTGTACTGCACTCTGTAATAACATTCCTCCCTTGACTGACAGACTGACTGAGTTTGGTTTTACGCTGCTTTTAGCAATATTCCAGCAACATCACGGCAGGGGACACCAGAAATGGGCTTTAACCATTAGGCCCCTCCTCCCTTGAACGTTAACTCAGTGTCCTAAAGGTGAAAACAGCTGTCCACAACAGCCCTGGAGGTGCAGCATCTGCTTGTCTTGACTACATCAATTCAGGCTTTCCCAAACATCAAAGTGACACAGAGTGGTATAAATGAAATATTGTTCCAACTTAAAACTGAAAGTGTTAAACCAAACTCACCCAATAGGCAGTGTGCTTGGGCATTGTCCACTTGCACTAATCTGTCTGCACACACTATGTGTATCACCAGTAAACACCCTTTAAGTATCATAGTACAATTCTGTATCACCATTATCTCAAACTAAATTTTTGATAAACTTCTTTCAATATACAGGTACGTATTTTGGGCAAGGGAGAGCACTCTGGTAAAGTCAACAATGCTGAGGTGTTTATCTGGCAACTTGTGAGTACATGTTCAGAGAGGCATCTTACACCAAAGTATCATGATGTCCAAGAACACTTTAAATGTGCTATGGTTTCACATATTTTATAAAAGTATTAAGATTCAGTGTGCAGTATTAGCCCTACCTCTGCAATGTTCATCATTGGGTCACACATTTGAAGACATTTCAGCGTATCAGCCATAACTAATTTATCCACAGAAACAAAGGATGGAAGTGTTCGCTGTTGCTGTTGATTCTTTTAATAATTGAAGTAAACACTAAAACTATTTCCAACATAAGCAGTTATCCAGATTTATCATGTAAATCTGGAACTTTTCACATGTATTTGCACACAAGACGATTTGTAAACAAGATCAAATGGTATAACCTGGTTATCTCCCTTACAGGAAGGTGGCAGCACTGTGCAGGTAGAGGGCAAGGACTATGCCCTGGTGGAGAATGACACCATGTTGATCAGGACAGGACAAGCGTGAGTTAGAAATCTTTTTGGAATAAATGCCATATAAGCCAATTTGAATTTTGTCAATGTACTGATAGAGTAATTTCTGTCAGTATTTGAGACTTATATTTTGAGGTTCAGTAGTACTGACTGATTTCATCTTTTCTATCAGATACACAGCTGTTCTCAGTGACACCTCTATCGCCCTGATCTGCTACCAGGACAGAGACCGCAAGACATCTGCCAACTAGACATGTGCCAGCACACTGGCAGATCAAGGAGACGTGGACATGGTCATTTCAGTATTCAGACCAGAATGATGTGAAATATATTTTGAAGCATGGAAAGTTTTGAAATACTCTATATACAGTAAACTATGGTTATAACCAACTGAACAGGACAACTAATTTTAGTTTGAAATAACCCTAGTTCATGATACACATTTCCTCTAACATAAACAGCAAGTGGTTTGGGCCGAAAAACAGTTTGTTATATCCGTTAGTTCATTATAAGGCCAGACCAATTTTATTTCTTGTTTTACGGATTTTTGTCCTCAGAAAACCTAACGGCAGGAAGGAAAAAATTAAAAAATAAAAATCACCAGTCAAAGTAATATTCCTTTTAAATACTAAAAGTATTTTATTTTTGGCAACTTATGAAGTGTTTATGGGGCAGAAAAACAATCAAAAAGCATATATATTTTTCTAAGTTTACATTTTTGGCCAATAAAAACATGATGATTTTATTATTTGAGCAGGGAAAATTAATTTTTATTATTTTTTCTTATTCTTGAGAGAATACGACCAGCGGATCCGTAAAACAAGAAATAAATTTGGTCTGGCCTAAACATTGTTTACTTTAAGTATCAGTAATCCCAAAGGTAAAACTTTACAAGATGATCCCCCACCTCCACTGATGGTTTATATTTAACCCACAGCTGAACTATAATTGTTCAGGTACTGTGTCCCATGAAGTTAACAATACATTCCTTCTGCACAGACGAGACACACCATCTGCATCTGTAGTGAATCACTAAATGCTTCCTTGCTTCACTTGGGCATCGTATCTCAGTGGGCTAGCACTATAAAACCAGCTTCAGTCTGGGCTAGTACAAGCAGCCGCTCACACACATACACACGCATGCACGTCGTCATATGAGCGAAATATTCTCAAGCACGACGTTAAACCCAATTTCACCTCACCTCACCTGAAGGGTCCAAGACCTCATGGCATTCAGATGGTTTCTTTTGCATTTAAGAGTTGAGGAATAAATAAGAAAGCATAAAACTTTATGTATAACATCTGTTTATTGTATTTGGCAACTTATAATGATGTGATAAAATTTAGTTTTATGTTTTCATGTATAGTATTGTGATGATATTGTACAAACATATTTATTGTGTCAAAGTATTCCCCCTCTCTCAATTATAGAGAGGCACAAAAAGATTAAGAAACTGGAAACAAAAGATAGGCCAATAGAGGGCCAACAAGTAAAACTGAATTTCCACACACTCCAAGCACAGACTTGAGATGTGCAGGTGGGCCATGGAATGCAAATATTTTAAGTCACTGACTGAAATGTTTTAATGTTTTTTTTCACTTTCAGTTTTAATAGTTTCTTTAGGTTTTCAGTAGATAACTTTAAACCATTGAGTGTATTTTATTAGTAGGTCTGCTCAGAACACTGTTTCAGGTGACTTCTAATTTGTGTCTGTCCATGTTACCGGGTATGTATGTCACATGGGCCATGTGCTCACAACAGTAATATATGTACGTTACAATAAGCTAGACTTGTATAGGCGTTACTTACTGTAGTTTATGTATTTTGTCTGCAAGTAATCAGTAAATAAAGATCTGTAAGGACATACATGTACCCACACCCATAGTGTCATTATCAGGATTATAATATTGTTGGGTTATGGTGAGCTGTGGAGCCATTTACTATGAATATAGGCAGCTATAGCCCTGACATGCATCACACCAAGAACATAATATGATTGCACATGGGAAAGCATGAACTATAACTTTCAGTATTAAATGGAGTGAACTGTCAAGTGTTTTTATTATCCAGTTATCAATTTCTCACCATTCTTTGCCTTATATACTACCTATCAAAAGTTTAGACTCACTAGTGTATATATAGCCACTTACTTCAAGCAACTGTTCTAAACAAAATTTTGCAAAATATTCCATACTGTTTAAAGGTGCTGTTTATACATGAACTGATGTATTGTAAAACAAATTCATAACGTTGAAAAGATTATTGTCATGCGCTCAATAAATGATCAAACTCGGTTAAAAATGGCAAATTCTTATCAAAACTTTACACCAAAATGCAGCTGTTCACATGCACGATATTTGCATATACTTTTCAGTAGTTTGATGCATGATCCTCGTGCAATTAATCTGCATAAGGTTTGCAGTTGTTTCCCCCAAGTTGGTGGAGAAATTCATCTTTGTTGTAACCATATATACATACATAACATATAGTGAATGTTTTAAGAGAGTCTAAACTTTTGATGTACTTTTTTATGCATTATATGAAATATTTTATTGTGGTATTATGTTATGTTTACATGGCAGCTATTTTATGCATGCAATATGCCTACTGTTTTCCATCCTTATGTAAGACATATATATGCAGGATTACAGAAGTTAATATATTATGTTATATATTATTAGTTGTTTTATGGTTGTACTGATGAAGACAAAGTTTCCTTGGTATTTGATGTTTCAGTTCAGATGCTTGTACCCTGATATCATGGAAGTGAAAGAAGTTGAAATACTAAAGTTACTGTCACGAAAGTTTCTTATGTAGTCACTGATATAGGTTCCCAAGGCAAGGGAGATAACTGTATGAAACTCCGCTTAATGTGAGGAGTGTGTTTGAGTATGGTTTTACACTGATTTCAACAATATTCCAGTAATATCACGGCTGTACAAGAAAAGGACTTCACACATAGTAAGGATTTGAACCTGGATTGTCAGTGTGATGAGTGAACACTTTAACCATTAGGCCACCCCACCTTATAGGATGTCAAAATGGCCAATGGTCATACAAGTTTCAGATCCATGAACAATACATACATTCCAACCAATGTGTATTCAGTATATTGACCCCTTGACAGTATCTTGTCAAAATTGGGATCGGGTGGTCGGTTGTGACTTATTGTGTCATCATTGGATCCTAACTTAGTAAATGGTATTTTCTTTCGCCTTGTATAGGTATAGATGTATAACATGTAAAACAACAAACTGACAAAGTGATTTTCAGAAGTATTGTTTTCAGTAGTTAATGAATTAGTCTTTGTGTAGCATTTAGATTGACTGAGTTTGGTTTTACGCTGCTTTTTTGCAATATTCCAGCAACATCACGGCGGGGGGACACCAGAAATGGGCTTCACACATTGTACCCATGTGGGGATTCGAACCCGGGTCTCGGCATGACCACTGGGCTACTGTAGCATTTAGAAGTTGGATCTGTAGCTGAGTACAAGCTAGTCTGAACATCTTTGTTACGAATGTAGCAACATTCTGGTGTAGATATTGACAGTGTTACCAAGCAATTGTTGATCAGTTGTGGATGAAAGTCATTGGTTGGGTACTGTCTGTTGTTTCTCCCCAATATATTCAGGTCAAACTATAAACTGAGACCGAGATGCATGTCCACCAATGGGTAGTGAAGGGTGGGGTGGCACACCTGTTATAGGACACCTGTATTACCGAATGTATTTAACCATACCCTGTTGGTAATAAACAAGTCATATGTTACCTGATGTTTGTATTTGAATAATGTTTTAATCTGAGGTTTACATGATATACAGCTTTTCCATGACAGATGGCGGGTCACAATTGATATTCAGCAACCCATGCTTGTTGTAAGAGGTGACAAATGGGATCGGGTGGTCAGGCTCGCTGACTTGGTTGACATGTAACTATATCCCAATTGCGTAGATCAATGCTCATGCTGTTGATCACTTGATTGTCTGGTCCAGACCTCGACTATTTACAGACTGCCGCCATATAGTTGGAATATTGCTGAGCGTGGCGTTAAACAACAAACCAACATTCATGTTACAGATCTTTCTGTGCCATTAATCTTGAACTAAACATTTGAGCATAAATTGGGGTAAGTCCGGGAGTTTTCTACAGGACAGATAGTATGTTAAAATGAACAGGTAGTCAACAAGATAAGTTTTTTCAGAAATGAATGCTCTACCATAATCTTTGTAAGGAACATTGTACTTTCATTGCCTATCTTCAATGTTGTCTGTCTTAGATGTTATTTGTGACATATCAGAGGCATGTTACACAAGAGAGTGGACGTGTGACTGAAGGAGTTCCTTGTCATGAAAAAGCAAAAAATAAATGATGTCTTCGTCCCTCCAAAACTGAAATCCTATACTTACATCCTACATGGAGGTCCTGCTCCTGCTAAGGTTCCCAGTGAACACAATGAAGAAATGCAAAACTATGGCCATGGTCTGTTTTTATCCCCCTCAACGCATTTTGCAGGGGGTATTAAAATGGACTCCATCTGTCGCGTGCATGCGTTCGATGGTCCATCCGTGCGTCCGTCCATCCGTGCACGTCTTTTCCGGAGCAGAACACTAAAACCGTTCACTATTTCTTCACCAAACTTGGCACATAGATAGATCTGGTGGTGTACCGGTGCCTTTTGGTAGTTTTGGAATTCTGAATAAAATGTTTTTGGCATTTCCATGGCAACAAGTTTGACTTAGCCTGAAATTGGTGGTTGTGCTCTTTTCCGGAGCTGAACTTTAAAAACCTTTCAATACTCTCCTTCCACTTTTCTATATACACACCTAAATATTTGACATAATCATAACTCGTAGACATAATCATGAAGAGTATTTTGCCATTGCGGGGGATATTGATGACTTTGTCTCCTTGTTGTAACTGACACGTGACAGTCCACTGCAATCTATAAATCTAAATCACCCTTCAATGATCTGCCAACTGATCAAAGATGACTAACACTTGTAATTGCCGTAGGTTTATGAACTACAGCTAAGTGTATCAGTATCAGTACTATCACAGGCACTGATAAGTGTATAAGGTGCTAACAAGTGTACCACAGCCACTTCCTTGCGTATCACAGGCACTGATAAGTGTATAAGGTGCTAACAAGTGTACCACAGCCACTTACTTGCGTATCACAGGCACTGATAAGTGTATAAGGTGCTAACAAGTGTACCACAGCCACTTACTTGCATATCACAGGCACTGATAAGTGTATAAGGTGCTAACAAGTGTACCACAGCCACTTACTTGCATATCACAGGCACTGATAAGTGTATCAGGTGCTAACAAGTGTACCACAGCCACTTACTTGCGTATCACAAGCACTGATAAGTGTATAAGGTGCTAACAAGTGTACCACAGCCACTTACTTGCATATCACAGGCACTGATAAGTGTATCAGGTGCTAACAAGTGTACCACAGCCACTTACT